CAACAAAAAGGAACGGCATATCCATATTTCTCAAGTTATTCTATCATAAATGGTTAGTTTACTTTTATTTTGGCACTGAACATGTCATAGTAATGTGTGTGATGACATTATCTTATAAGAAATTATATGGTTTTGCTTCTTCGACCCTATATGTATGCTTGTGTGGTTGGTCCTTTAAATGTTCTATTGATTAGTTTGTATACATGTTTCTAGAAAAAAACTTGTATACCTTTTTGCCCCCTCTAGTTTTTTGTCCTGGCTCCGCCCCTGGCGGGAGAGGAACAATGGTTGTCCCGGTGGGAGTGTCGGGCGGCGAGGTTAAGATGGGTGGTGGGCCAGGGTTTGACCTGGGCGTCCTTATGTAAGATGAGGAGCATGGCGCTGCCCAAGTGCCGAGGAGTTCATGGAAACTACCTGGTACAACACGGCTAGGGGGTTCATGGAAACTGCCTCGTGCAACATGGCATACCGAGCAGGGGACCTTGGCCTGGCCTGCGATGGTGCATCCCCTTCAGCTCCTCGTACCCGTCGTCGTCGACGCCTCCGTGCGGGGTGCGGCAGGCGCGTGACCTCCTCGTGCATGCGCCGCTCGCAGCGCAGGTTGGCGGCCAAGAGCCAGAAGAATCAGGTGAGAGTGGAAGACGTCGTTTCTTTCTCGGCCAGCATGAAGCTGACCACAACATCCCGCGGGAACCGCCGCTTCGCATCCGGCGGGCCGGACATCTCGCCGAGCTCACCGCCGCTGCGAACCACGATACTGCTCTTGCTCGCCATCATCGGCCGAGCTCCGATGACGTTGGACGCTCTGTGGCGGCTGAGCTCGGCCCGCCACTGCGACGTGCTCACCACCTAGCTCCGGTACGGGCGCCATGAGGTGCGGACGAGTTCGACCCCGATGCCGCGCTGCCACTCGATCTATGCCACCCGACGATCCCTCGTTACTGCCTTCTGCTCGCCGCCGCCACAAGCTCTGAATCGCTCAACCTCAGGAAGGAGGCATGCTGCCAGGAGCGGCTGGCACAGCACACCATGTGCTCGACAAAATGGCTACAGCAATGATAAGAAGAAATGGAAGAGTAATATTGCCACGTGGACGAAGAGAGGTCAAAACCAGGCCACGCCAACTCAAAAACCACTTCAAATGAGCAGAGGGACTAAACTAATCTGGTTTGATAACTTGGGGATTGAGTTTTGCTGGTTTCAGAGTTGAAGGACCATTTCTATACTTTCATGAGAGCTCAGGGACAAAAATATACGTTTCCCTTAAATTAATGAACATGTGTCCGTGGATGGTTTCGTTTTCCGTCTACAGTAATGAGAGGCGATCGACAGACCATCGATTTCATTTCCACCGGCGAGCCCCTCCCTCCCTCTCTTCCCCTCGTGGCGCCTTGGTGCTGCCAGAGGTGGACAAGGGGACGGCTCGCCGGGTGGATCTACGTACAGATTACGTATGAGGATTGCTACATCTTGGTCGTCTCGGTCCATACTATATTCATAAGATCTTATGTGAAGATCCGTGAAAATTTTCTTTTAAATTTTTCTTCTTCTTTACATGCTATGTCACTTGACTGAGACTTGACTTAGACCTAGCCACACCCATTACGTATCTAGGATGCTTTTAGGTGTCGGGGTGGGCTCCCTAGTGTCGTTGTTGGGTCGGGCTGAGCGGCGATGGTGGCGGAGGCTCCTGCGAGTAGTTTGTGCATCTGGTGCTGCCTCGTTTCAGTGGCTTCATCGGCGCGGCCGGTTGCATGTCGGTTTATTCAGTGTGCTTCACATCAAGTTTTCAATCTGGTGGCTAGGTCATTACAGCGGTTGATGCCACTCGCAAATAAACTGCCCTGGGATTTTTCTTCGGCGTCGGGCCCTGCGATGGCAAATCTCGGTGGCTGCCCTGGACTGAGTAGGTGTGACGATAACGCTGATGTTGTGGTGGGCTCTTTTCCTCCAGCTTGTCCTTCATCGCGGTGGTGCTTCCTACGGTGCCATCGTCAAGCTTGTGAGGTGGTTTAAGAGGGGTGGCTCTAGATTTGCGTTCCCTTCGCTCGTCGATGAGGGAAGCACCGAAGATGATTGTGGTGGTGCCCGACTTCTCACCAGTGTGCTAGTCCTTCAAGACCTAAGCTTTGAAGGCTTCCCCTCTTGGTTAATCCCGCCTGCAGATCAATGGTCAGGTCGGCTCCGGAGGGAGCGGCGGCGTGTCTTCAGCACACGGTGGTGGTGTGGTTGGTTGGATCCCTAGGTACCCGGTTGTAATTTCTTTTTTCTGTTGGGCTCTCTGTATCACTGCTCATCCTTAATATAATCTTGAGTCATTTCCGCAAAATAAAAATAAAATTAATGAACATGTAGGTAACGGCTTTTATTTGTTTATCAGAGGAGCTTAACCCATTTCACAATGAAACTTACGTAACATTATAAGAGTTTTTGCCGCGTTTTACAGCTGGCCGTCTGACTTTGTTCTTCAACATCACCTAGAAGCGAGCTGAATACATAAAGCAAAGCTGAAAAACTAAAATGCCAAATGACAATAAAGAGAGCTTGGAGGGCACCGGCAGCCGAGTGAGCTAGAGAGTGGAGCGTGGGCTAGGTCGCTGGCATTGGCAGGAGCACCAATGGGAGGAGGGAGTAGGCGGATCGCGTGTACTGGAGTTCATTATATGGAAATGATTCCGCGTACGCAACCAGAAAGAATAAGATTTGTTTGTTCAGTTCCAAAACCCTCTCCTCATCTGATCGAATCGATCGGTGTCTCTTGGGTATATTGGTCGTCGCTACGTAATCCCTCTGCATGAGTGCATCCATCCATCATGCCTCCTCCACCGGCCGGAGGAGCGACAGCGACAGCGACGGTACTTGCTTGCACTTACACATTAGCGTACCCTAACAAATTTCATTTGCAGTCGGACATGGAGTATTTGATCCCAAGCTTATATGCTCCCTCACAAACAGTAAAATCCAAAATAAAATGTAAAAAAATTCAAAAAAATCTGAATTTTTTTTTGATGAACATTGATAAATCTTTTAACTACGTGCAAAATTTCAGGTTGAAATGAAATTCGTGGAGGTCTGGGCAAACAAAAAAAGTCGATGGTCCAAAAAAACTATTGTTGGAAGCATTTTGAAACATCGATTTTGTTATTTATACCAGACCTCCACGAATGTCATTTTGACCTGAAATTTTGCATGCAGTTAGAACATTCATCAATGTTTATCGGAAAAAATCAGATTCTTTTAAAAAAATTACTATTTTTTTGATTTTACTGTTCATGTGGGAGCATATGAGCCCGGGATCAAAAGAGCACTTTCGCATTTGTAGTTTCCAACTATTAAACTAATGAACATGTAGGTAACGTCTTTTATTTGTTTATCAAAGGAGCTTAACCCATTTCACTAATGAAACTTATGGAACATTATAATAGTTTTTGCCACGTTTGACAGCTGGTCGCGTGACTTTGTGCTTCAACATCAACTAGAATTAGCGAGCTGAATACAGAAACCAAAGTTGAAAAACTGAAAGGCCAAATGACAATAAAGGTTCTCCCCGTTTAGTCCCCGTTCTGACGGTGCATCTAGCACCGTCCGAAGATGTGTGTGGGTATTTCCTCGGCGGATCTCGTGTGATTCGATCGGTGTTGGTCTTTGATGGATCTTCGTGGATCCAATCTTTGTTCGTCTTCGTCCTTGTGTCTACGGGTTGTTTATCTATGCTTCTCTTCATTGACGACATTTGTTGTTTTGGTGTGCTCGTCTTGTGGGGCCTTAACACGATGGCTTTCAGATGATCTACTATAACAAGCATTATATGGCTCTGCTCAGGGAGGTACAATAACGACAGCGCACCTTCGACTTGCTCCAGTGCTTCTAGTCGTCGGTAGATAGTTTACTGATCTGTATATAAATAAATTGGAAGGTTTTCCTGCTAACAAAAGGGCATAGTCCCAAACAAAAATCCAGACTCCACATCGACTCCTAACAAGGCACATACACTCACCTTATGAAGGCACGCATGCACAACCTACCCCGATATCCTCCGAAAGACCGAGCAATCGATGGGAACATCGCCTCCCACTAAGAGAAGAGAATATTCAGCATTTATGAAACACACATGTGTCAAACCTGGAATTGATCCTTCATGGCCTGGGGGTACAACCACGACCTAACCATCCAACCACAATTTGGTTCTTTTAGGACCAATGTCTCTCAATACCACGACACAAATCTATGCGAGAGTTTATACATTACTTTGGCTATTTGAAACTGTGGGAACAAAGATTCAAAAAAAATTGCATGTTATCTAGAGTGTCTGGATGGTTCCATACATGGTTATTATTACACCATACGGAAATGACGGAGCTTACTACGACCGTTGAGAGATGGTAGCACGGGCTACATACAGTCAATTTAGATGGCGGTCAAATAATAGAATGTGTTTATTTTTTGCCGGTTGTGCCATTTCGTCCATAATTTGTATTTTTTTAACCAAATCTTCTACTTCTTTGTTATTTGGATCACCATAATAAATGGGCATGTGCATCATATGATACAGAGGTCGGAGGTACTCCTCCTTTTAGAAAAAATACCTCGTCTTCAAATTACATGGCCGACTTATGCTAAGGCTGTCTTATCAATCATTGTACGTGCCCAGAGCGATTACAAAGACGTTTGACAAATGAAAAGGGGGTGGGGTGGGGGGAGGGGAGCCGACAAATAGAAGACTTCAACCAAACTTGCAGGTTTGTTCGAGATCAAAATGGGAGGGGAGTGCATTAGACTTTTTTTTGGTTCAACTCGAAAAGAAATGAACATATGAGCACTTGATGTAGGATCTTGAGCCAACACTGACTTGCTCAATTTTAGCTTAGACTAAAATAATTATATTAATCCTGATATAGCATAAAAGACAAGCCGCATATGTTTTCATTCTCAAGATGATTAATTCGCAAGTTATAAAATTACGACATACTTATTGCGCAATTACAAAAACTTGACTCACATCAAGTGGACAACTGAAATGGTCCCCCATAGAAAAATTGCCCATTCACAATGGGACCAACGGCGTAGATATTCGAGTCGGTGATGTACGTGAGTGAGATTTGATTCATCGGCAAGGCATGCCCGTTCTGGTCGATAAACTGGACATTGCTCATGGACGCAGATGACATCGCATTAAATATGGGGAGATAGCCACTGCCCATCGGAGCCAGGTTATTCATGGAGGTCAACACGTGGCCCCCGACCTGGATATCTGCCGCTCGATTTGCCAGCCCTCCGGTAAATAGCGTCTTAGGGAAACGTCCAATCAGTGCAAGTTTGTCCTGGTTTAGCCCATAATATACCATCCAGTCTCCCATTATGCCATCCTATAATTTAGGAAGAGTTAGCTTTCTATTGATGCATCACACCTTTTCTAACACTTAACAAAACTAGTAGCACACTTGAATCATGTTCGATGAACACAATTTAATCATGCAAAAATGCAGTTCACATGGCAAGCTTTAATATCAATGATGTAGAAAAAGAAAAATCATGTAACTCACAATAACCAATGGCCTAACAAATGGGAGCTATCTCCTCTGTTCCAAATTATAGAATGTTTTGTTAGGCTAATTCGGGACGGAGGTAGTACAATTTAATAATACTAGAATAGGATATAAAATTTTATTACAGAAATGTGAACAAAATTATGCAAGACCAAAAATAATAACAATACATGTATAGTACAAAGTTAGAGGGTAATTAATTAGTTGACAATAAGTACAATTAGAGCCAATATTTAAATGTAGAATCACATTTGTTCTCTACAACTATAAGTAAATATAGTTAGATTTGGATGGCTTAGATAAAAAGATCCCAAACATATATTTAGATTTATGAGGTGGAGGATTTCAGGTGGGGGGTGGGGTAGATGCTTTGTGATTTGAGAATGTCACGTGTCATCCATCAGGATGGGTCTCACCTGCTAACCCGTGAGACCTGATCTCATAGAATTTTTTTTCCATCGGCACCCATGATTGAATTTTTTCACAGTTTTGTTACTCGGTAAAAAAAAAGTTATAATTGTATAGTTCTAAAGGGAATTTGTTATGTTGGGACCACAAAACAATCTTTGTAGTAGGAAGGTGTACCTTGATGATTTTAATCGTGATATATTGTTTTGGTCCATTTAGCTGGGAGACGGTCTCAATGACTCCCCCAGCAGCTATGGGTGCGCCCTGCTCCGGTATGAAATCTCTTGTGCAACTGGGATTGGGGCAGCCAGTTTTCTGGTACCCGTCCGTCTACACGACGACCAAAAAGAGTAAATTCAACTCGCGTCATGGAGAAAGCAATAAGGTTCAACACTGCGTGATTCATACTCACCGTCCACCCAACTCCCAAATGGGTGAGCGAATCGCCGTACCACCCTGGCGCAACCTAGCACAAGACGAGCAACGTACATCAGCCATATCATCCATCTGTATGCTTGTGATGGTGTGCAACATCAGCCGTCCACCCTACGTATGCATGCATGCGATGGCGACCTGGGAACATGGATCACACTCACCTCCCAGCCAACGTGGAGCACGTTGAGGCTGGCCGTCGCGCCGTCTCCTTGGTCATAGAGGAGGATCGCACCCGTGCTGAGCTGATTACTGCTGAGGTTGAAGCCGTAGACGTCCATCGTGGCGATGAACCCGTAGTATCCCTCCTTCGTCGCTCCTGGGCGTGTCACCTGCTTCGCAAGCTAAGCGATAACAAAGAAGATAATTATTAGTAGCAAATACTAGTTGGCAATATCTATCTCCGTAGATCAACCGATCAACGACGCTGCTATTATACATACGTATTGTGTCACCGAGCCAGACCCGGCATCATCCAATGGTGAAACTTGATCCAGCAATCTAGGAGATACCATGATCGGTCCGACCTTGGAGCCTGGGACTTTCACCTGATGTATCATGTATGTACGTGCAGATTATTAGCAAGCTTCATGCTGTCTGTCAAAATTAAGCTAATTAGGACCGCTGGTTAGGCACGTACCCGGGCAGCGTTGGTTCCATGGCCGGCCAAAAGCAGCACCCACGCCACGGCGACGAGAAGAAGTAATTCGGCCATCGTCGTCGTCGAGATGAGAAGACGTGACACATGCGCTTATATATAGAGAGAAGAGAAGAGGCCGGCTTCATCGTGATAAATTTGGAAATGTTGGCTAGGGTCGATTCATTCATTTACGTACCATAACCGTTGCTCTATACCAAAGTTATGGAGAGATTAATGGTTGTTTAATTCCGGCCCATATATGTACCATAACTGTTGCTCTATACTAGTAAGTACGAAATTTTTGAGAATCATATGCATTTATCACAAGATTCCGCGCGGATCGGTGTAAAAAATATACATACTGTTCCCATTAATTCCACGCGGATTTTACTTTCTATGTGAAATGTTTGTTCCATTCTAGCGAGCCAACCTTTCTATATGTCTCTCAAAAGCCCAAAAATTAGAAACATATGACTGTTAAATCTCAACCAACAATTTTCATTAATTTGTTTCCACTTATATATGCTGAGTAGAACCATGAATAATTTTTCATATCCGTGAAGAATTTGTAATTTAAAAACATTGATGAAATTCGCAAATGTTTTATAAAACTAGGTAATTGCCCGTGCGTTGCAATGGGAGAACAATAGTCATTTATGTATTGGTGATATATTTTGGTTATGCTTTCATAAATTAATCAACCAAGAGCTCTTTACCCTCCTATTGGTATAGTATAAAACATGTGCAATACATGTATTAGTTGATGAAATAGACATATATAAATTGTATATAGTTAAATCCACATGCATTGCTACGGTGAAAAAAATATGATCACCAAAATGCAACTTTCTCATTTCGTAATTAATCTGGGGCACCTTGTTCCACCATCTACTATATTTTCACTCAAGAACCAATAAAACCTAGTTTAGTACAAATGATTGCGTTTGGAATGAATACCTCTGGTTACCTTATGTGATTGATTGCCTGCTAGTACAAATGCCCGTGAGATGCAACGGGCAAAATATTAAATATAAATTGCTCCACGTACCATTATGTAACATTTTTTCATATAATTTTTGCAAATGTCAGAAATAAGGTCAATGTAACCTTGTTGTAGCAATTACGATCTCGACGCGCCGCGATCTAGCAGAATTCGTGCAATAGGACTGTAATGACTAAAATTGCTATCTTTCCTCTAAAAGAAGCAGAAATAAGGCAACTTGCAAAAAGTAAGGTTCGACAATGTTTTTATCTGTGGTGACGACCGACCCTGTTTGTCCTTCCTAGGTTGCCACAACAGGACAACCCTATACAAATTATGGAATGCTGCTAGTAGTTACAAGTACTTTTTAACAGAGATTCCGTCGATTGTCATCACTGACCACACATAACTGAGTATGCAAGGCAAGATGCATAGCAACCCCTGAGAAGATACAAAACCTCGCTCATTGCTTAATCTCCTGCTAACCAGACGTACAGAGTATATGGAACCAACATACACATACGCTCTTCATAGTCTAAAAAACAGAACTACCAAACCATTCCAAGAAAATCTTGTAGTACAGTCTATCAGAACACAACATATACACGCATGTACACCATAACCGTCACTAAAAACAGGCCTATGGCTGGCAAAGAAGTGGCAGCAAAGCTACCAGCGGCACACTTGTCGTCATCAGGTTTCTCTTTCTATACTTGACATGTAGACCCCAAAGTCATTCACTTATCCTCAAGATATGATCTCTTGCGATCGTCATCTGCGTATCTAGAGTAGCTATTTTGCTGATAAGAGAGCCCCTGTGATCTAGGGTTGTACGCAAGAAGACATCAACCTCTGTCACGATATCTTTTTCTCCGTCATCATTCACCAGAGCTTGGCTGAAAGACTACAATGCAGTGAGGAGGACAGAGGAAGCTTCTTCTGTGTCCATTGTATCATCATCTTCAGTTTCTTATTCAACCTATGACAAAGAGGGATTTCAGTGCGAGCAAGGAATTGAAGTGTATGTATAGACAAAAAAACTGAGCAAGGATACAGATTCTGATGATACAACATCAATTTACTTAAGCTCTTACACGGGCAGTGAAGGTGAAGGTGAACCTAAGGAAATATCATAGTCAGCAAAAATAAGATGGAAGAAGACGATCAATTTAAAATCATGTAACTAAATACATCAAAGAACTTTCTTATAAATAAAGCAGGCAACCAATATTTTGTCCGATATTGAAAGAGCTTTGTTTGATTGACTCTTCTATATTATACGATGCTCTATGGCAATAGATAAATGAGAGCCAAAAGAGTAATTATTAAGATTGCATGCATGCCTTATATATACCAAGGGTCATTCTTGAGAAAAGTTGTGGCTCATGCCTCATGACATTTAGAAGAAAAATTTTGATAATATGTAGGTGCTAGCACTTTGCATAAGGTACAAACCTTACAGGTTCACTCAAGCAAATACCACAAATCATATAATCGCACAACAATGGTTCACAGAATTACAGAAAAATTTGAGAGAGAAGCAGCAACAGGTTGGAGTTCAGAGAAGAACTTAAGCAATGGGGTTGAGAAGAGCTTCAGAAGAAGTGCAGCAGCAGCGCTAGGAGAGATGGGACAGCCGCAGGCAGCAAGGAGCAGAGAGGAGAGGCAGCAGCGCCAAGGAAAGACTACTACAGAACCTACGACTAAGTCAAACTATATATATTTACGATTGATGGGCATACTTGCAACTTGAATCCTTCATTTTTCAAATTTGAGCATTGGCGCATATCCACTGTATGGATTAGTCATATTATTAGGCTGGGTCAGTATATTAGTAAATTTGTCACATATACACAGTTTGTCGAACCAATTCCAATAATAATCAATAGACGCATATCTCTGGGAAAATAAGGAACACACATGCATACAGTGGAAGTGTCTCGAGGGCCAAACTATTCTGGAAACTATCATAGCAGAAATCACCAAATTATATGTCCAATTAGTATTGTCCAGTTAAAGGTCGAAGCTAGAATCATAGATCTTACAACTGTACTTCAGAAAAGAACCATCCAATGTCAGAGTTTTATCATTGCTAAACGTCCAGATCTCATATCATACAGTGATAATCCTCCTAGATTAGGATTATACCAAATTAGTGAACGAATAAAATAACTACAATTTGGAGCTTCAAGTAAATCAAACAGTTAACTTAATTCTCTAGTCGACGACTATGTTCGTACCTGAAGAATCATTCTACCCGTGCCGTTAGTTCAGCACCTTGGTCCCTTGTTATTGGCGCATCCGATCCCAAATCTCCAACCTGGTAGCGAATTAGCATGCTTCAGTTTACCCCTTATCTATACACTTGAATCAAATAAACATGCAAACATGGCATTCAAGCTTGCCGCTGCAGGCAATGGCATATCTGATAGCAATATGCAATATGAACACCATTGAATAACTGAAAGTGATAGTCTTGGGTCACCTTACCTGGCACCTAGTGTCTCTTCAAGAATTTATCATCAAGCTTGATTGCATATTATAAGGGGTCCATGTGCAAGCTGAAAATTATCAGTACAATCAAGTCTGTTTGTACCATAACGAATACTTGGACTTTGGATCTGATACAGAAATATGTCAAATATCAGTTTTAGAATGAATTGCAAATGAATCCCATGCTTTGAATACATTTAGAGAAATAGCTAATTTGCAAGAGCACCCGAACTCATATTTGCTCCATACCGAGACTATGACTTTGCTTTTCCTAGCATTGCAGGGCATAGGCCACTTTGCTTGGTGTGGCTGCCCTTGCAGCCCCGAAAATACGTATCTTTATAGCAGAGAGGAGGAAATCTGCGGTGATTTTTCACCTTGGTGCTTTCCCAATGGAGTTGCCGGATAGAATGGAGCAGGTCAACAATGTAGGACCGACCCAGTGTTGGTGTATCATCAGAATCGCGTGGTGCCTTGGGGATCATGTACGGGTGCTGGGAGTTAATCTACATCAAAACAGAGAAGATCATGATAGGAATATAATAGCTGGGAAATTCCGCCGGTAAGGAGCGCCGAGGCATGAACCGACGTCGGCAGCCCTCCATTAATCTGCTAGGCCGGGGGCGCAGAGGCCCACCTGCAGGAGAGGCAGGGAGGCAGCCATGGCACGTCGTTCTGGACGGAGGCGGCCATGGCATGGGACGGCGGCGGCTGAGCGCGGCGCCGGCGCTCGGGAAGACGGCGGACCATGGAGGCGCGCGGAGCGAGGTGGAGACGCACGGATCTGGTCGCTCCCAGGTCAGATCAGGCCGCAGTGGAGCTCCACATCGGGATCCATGGTGCTCCACATCGGGATCCATGGTGTTGTTGCTTCTGAAACAGAGAGAGACAAGATTTGTGAGAGAGAGAAAAGGAAGGGATAAGGGAGAAGAAGAGAGATAGGGCGCGCGGGAGAGGTTACTGGACGACGGCTGGAGTTCGGCAGCGGTGGCACGGACCGCCGGCGTGAGGAGTAGGCCAGAGGGAGAAAACCGGAACGGGGGAAAGAATCGTACGAGAGGTGGGACTGGGACGGGGTAAAGAAAATCGGGGGGTGAGGGGCTCGTACGAGAGGCTTGACGAAGCGGTGAACGTAAGAGGGGAAACGAAACACTACGTTTCTTTTAGATAAGTAGAGAAGATTTGTCAACATTTATGAAAATTCCCAAAAAGAAAAATACCTGAATGTTTTAAAAAAATTGAAAAATGTTTAATACGATGATCCAACCAGACCCTTACAAACACGGATGTCTCTGCCTCAGGGCTTCGCGTGAAAATCGTCTAAACCGACAAAAAAAATCAGCTAGGTGAAGAATAACAAATGCGCCAAAAAATTGGTTTTCCCTCTATAAACTAATATAAGATCGTTTAAAATTAAAGTAGTGATTTAAAATATTTTATATTAATTTATAGAGGTAGTACGTCCGTCTGAGCGACAAGTAATATAAATGAAAGGGAGTATAATTAGTTCTCCCTACAGTCCAAACACACCTACACCGCACAAATAGACAGATTCTTTTTTTAAATTGCTCACAAATAAACGATATAATTAGCATTAGCA